CCAAAATTTGTTCTAAAAAGTTTGTTTTCCAAGTGTCTGCCGTTTTGTAGTCCATTCGATTTTAGTACATATAATAAATTGAAAGATTTGAGTAGCTAGAATTTATCGTTGATTTTTGAAATTTTTTCCGTTGACGGAGTTGTGCAATTTCTTACATTCAAAGTATGTTCGACGATTTATTTAATTGTAAAAATAATAGGGGTCTTCATCTGAAGTGATAAAGGGATAAAGTACCTAAATTTATCAGTTTATCCGCATTCTTTCATGAATGCACCTTGGTAAATAATTGCATAAAATTGTTTATTATTAAACTCATATGGCTAGTAAACGGTAAAAGCGTTTTATTCTTACCGCGTCCATTGTGTTCATTTGCCTGTTTTGTGTTCGTAGCAAAAACGACCACTTTGTAACCTGTTAGTCCTCTTTCAGACACGTCAAGTCTTGAAAGCAATTTTTTCGCATTCTCTTTTGTGTTTTCTATTTGCTTCCACACGCGTCAACTTTAATTGAATTCAAGTCCTTGGTCTTTAAATGGGAAGCAACGAAAAGATCAAAAGAGAAAAGAAAACTTGAAACGAATTGATGGTACGGAGGTATCTGTACTCTTCCCCTCTCTTCCCACCTCCTTCGCCAATGAACGAGTAGACTTGAAAGCAAGACTTGACGTGTCTGAAAGGGGACTTGGGGTTGAATTTTGCTGAAATTTATACATTTATCCACCAATATCGTTTTATTAAGTGATGAACTTTGGTACACATACAAAATTTGACAGTTCATTTATCAAAATTATAAATTCATAATTTTATCAAGTTTATCAACAGTGTATCGCTGTGGTGTCGGCCGCTGTGGTGTAGTGGTAAGCAGTGCGCGCTTCCACTCCGCAGGGCCTGGGTTCAAGCCCCGGTCAAAGCAACATCGCAAAAAATAGAGAAAAAAGGTTTTTTCTTAACAGCGGTCGTCCCTCGGCAGGCAATGGCAAACCTCCGAGTGTATTTCTGCCATGAAAAACAGCTTCTCTGTAGGTCCCTCCGCTTTGTGTGACAACATCAAGGCGCACGCCTCAAATCGGAGGAGAAGCTCGGCCAAACACTAACATATGTGTAAGCGCCAATCTATTATTATTATTATTATATCAACAGTGTATCACTTTTGATGAAGACCCCTAATGTCCTTCATCAAATTTGTTGTTTGTTTCTAATAGTACATATTTATAGAAAAGCATTTAGTCCACTAATACCATGTTCTGGTCGAAAACGAAAACACTTTGAAAACGAGTTTTGGGATTGTGGGCTGAAGGCTGTTCACACCGGCTATTAGTGTTTTCGTTGACATTTCTTACATCTCTTGATTACAGTTTTGCTACACAAAAACAAAACCAAAATACTNAATATGACTTCCACTTCGATAAATAATCGAAAAAAAAACTAGCGAAGACACCGATTGGAATGAGTGGAACGTAAATGTTCAAGTAGCTTTCAGCGAAAACTGGTTTTCGTTTGACAGACTACAGTCAACCATTAGTCAAATGGACACTTTGAAAAGAAAAGTGGTGTTTTAACATTACAATATTAGTTAACTAATGGCTGGGAAAATTATGAGAGTATCTTAACCCAGTATGCGTTGCGAAGCACACCGAGCTAGTAAATAAATAAATACATATATTTTTTTCGTTTCTTGTAATTTATTTTATTTCATAATTTTTTTTTATTTTTTATTGAATTACCTTACAATTCCATGTATTTTATTGAATTTCCTTTTAACCATACTTTAGTAAAATTCCGATTTACATACCCTCAGATCCACATATGTATGTATACTAAAATACACTAATTAGATTTTGACATATGAATACTTTGGTTATTGCTGTATATAGTTGCTTATTAGACTTTTACTTCTTGCAATTGAGTAATTTAAGGCCATAATTTACTTCTTTTACGGTATACTATACTTTTTTTTTAAATATCTACATATTTTTAAAATTTCATAAGTACATATGTATACACATCAAAAACATCGAAAAAAGTAACATCACTAATATAGTAGGTAGTATAAGCACTAATAATTAAAAAGCGCTAGTTAAAATTTATTTTATTAATTTGGTTTAATTTCTAGATCTTTTTAAGTAACATGCGCAAGCTTAACTGTCAATTACCATAAATTAGCTTAATAAATTTACATTTGTATTTTAAGTTTATTTCATCTTTATCGATTATCGATTGTATATTTTAAATATAAGCCACTTTGCGGTTTAAAGGCCTCACTCAAATGTACAATTTGTAATCCAAGCGCGTTTAATTGAAAAAATAATTAAATTGTTTTTATAAGGGGTAAATAATATTTAGAGAATTTTCATTCATCTTTGAAATTTTAAATGTTTAATATTAAGTACATGTCAATTGTATTGAATTCATTTTACTGTTATATTCGTTGCTTAAACATCTATGCAGTATAAGTATACTTAATTATTATTTTCATATTTAGTTATTATTCAGATATACAATATTTAAGTCTTTTGTTTTGTCAAGCATAACCTCAAAATTAGGCAAAAGTCTATTAAAACATTTGTAAAAATTTACAAATTCTGAGACATTAAATGAATTAAATAAAGTTTTGCGAAATGTGCAAAAAAGAATGTCTGCTGTTTCTTAATGGATAATATTTTAAAAGTTGCTATACATACATATGTATATCCATGTCGTACATATGTATGTAGTAGAAAAAAAACTTTGGTATATATTTTGTCGCTGAATTTTATTACAATTGCACTTTCGTGCTTTGTATACATGTAAGTATGAATGCTTGAATATGTATGTATGTATGTATATGCATGCATATGATTATTAATATTTACTATAAATAATTTATAGGCTAGCTTATTGTTTAAAAATAACATTGATTTTTTCTTTACAAGCAGCAACAGTGGTGGCGAATATACAGTGAGTGTTTGCACCGATCGTAAATATGTAGTAACTATAAGTGGATTGGATAATGCTCTGAATATCAGAGCAGGAAACTGGGGTTACTTATACATTCGTTGAATAGTTTTGTATGTGTTGGCATAACACTTTTTATAAATTAATTTAAAGCAAGTAAAAATATCATTCGCATAAAATGTGTAGATGCAGAGTTCGCATGACAGCTGTCAAGCAGAGCGTGTGGGAAAAATTCCATATAAAAATGCGATTACTTTGTTAATTTTTGCATGAAAATTTTGACACTTTTGACAGCTGGCAGGCGATCTTAGCAGATTGGTTATTTTATACACACTATTCATGCTTTTCTAAACATTGGGAAATCATTATTTATACTTTGGATTATCCAGGTAGGTGCAGGGAGGGGTGCTCGAGCCCCCCCTAACTTTCAAAATTTCCTTATATATATTTAAATAGTACCCTGAAATGCCAGCTTAATAGGGTCGAGCCCGCCCCCTAAATTTCATTCTGGCTACGCCGATATTTGGATATCTAGGCATTTATCATAATCGAATACATATGTACAAACAGTGAACCACACAAATTTAAGCACAACAAAAGTTTCACAATATATGCAAGTTTTTTTTTTTCACCGACTTTTTATAAAAATACAGTTCGCATTACAACAGAAAATATAAAAATAAATTGTCTTCACTTAGTGCAAATCTCAGGGGAATTCGATAAATTTGCACTGAATATTCAATATTTTTAATAATTTTTGTTTTAAGAAAATTCTTGATTACGCAGTTTAAAGTTTTTCAAGTCCCGTTTTTTGACATATTTTTTCTAAAAAAAGTGATAAGAAAGTTGAAGATTTGTATGCAAATTTACTGAATTTTCCTGAGTTTTGCACAAAGTATAGAAATTTTATTTATTTTTTTTTTGTTGTAGAAAATTTCATTTGGAAAAATTTAACGAAAAAAATAGAACAAAAAACTTTGGATACTTTGGAGAAAACTCTTTGCATGTAGACTTTTGTGGTTGACTGTATGTAGTTCGGCTTCTTACATTTAAAAATGTATGTAAATAGCTATTCCTTGCTTTGACCAAAGCGGAAATATTTTGCCGCTGGCTACCTTGCTGCTTAATGTCGTTAGGGTCCTTAAGAATTCAGTGTGAACTCTACTTTTTTAGATAACTTTTTTTAATGCTATTTGTGTGTGTCCATTTTGTATCAATATGTATGCATTTTGTTTAAAATTTGACTAGAAAAAGTCACTGTAGACTACTCAGCTAAGCAGCTTACTTCTCAACACCCAACAGTTTCGCCGCCTCATCGGCAGAGGAGAGCAGTTTATTGAGTATACCCTGATCGCTGATGCCCAGCAGATTGCCAATGAGATCGCTATGTAAGCCACCGTTTGGTTGCTCTTCGGCCGCAATATTCTCCTTTTGTTCGCCGCTCATGTGACTACTGCGCCATTCGTTCGCTTTGCTCAACAGCTCTTGTATTCTGGGTGTACGCAGCGCGTTTGCTGCTGCTGCCGCTGTAGCTGACGCCGCCACCATCGCATTGGCATTGACGTTGACATTCGTTGTTGTAGTCGGTGTTGCAGCATGCGCCGCTGTAGGCATCGGCATTTGTTCATCGTCTGAAAAGTCTGAGCCACTATTGCCTGTCGCGGATGCATCGCCACCTGGCGCGCCATTCTGCGAGCGTATGGTGTGCTTTTTCATGTGTCGCAACATGCTATGCTTCAGCGTGAATTTACGCAAGCAGATTTCGCACTGAAATGGACGTTCGCCCGAATGTGTGCGCATGTGGCGTCGCAAGTCCTCCGTCGACCAGAAGCGGCGCACGCAGAAGGCGCAAATTACTTTGCGATTCGTGTAAGCGGGCATTTTGGGCAACAAAGCGAAGCTGTTGGCAGCCTCTTCGCCCACGCGACGTTCCTCTTCTTCCATCAGTTGCGTTTGGTTGGCCTCAGCTTCGCTGACAATGGCGCCTTTGGAAAGTAGTAGCGTGAATTCTGGCGCATGCTGCTTCTTAATATGCTCCAGGCAGTTGAAACGTTCGGTAAAGGAGCTTTCGCACAAATGGCACTTGTATGGCAAGTCTGCATTGAGTTGGGAGAGATGCTCTTTGGCGCGTGCATCGGCATCCGCGCTAGCTGCATTGGCTGCGCATATTGAAACATTGATTTGTTGTTGCAGCTGTGCTACGGCCAATTGTTTGAAGAGTTTAGTTTGCTGTTCTTGCTCCTGCTGCATACGTTGCTCCTTTTCGCGTCGTTCGCGTTCCAATTGTGCCTCCTCGGCTTTACGCTTGCGCTCTTCCTCTTCGCGTTGGCGCTGCTGTTGTTCGATCTCCTCGACGGACTTTGGCACCGGTATTGGCTCGTTTACGTCCTCGGTTGGCACATATACCGATACCGCCGATTCCACGTCGCCATGCTTACGCAACAGGTGACGATCACAATTGCTCTTCGTGGTGAAAAGTAGTGGACAGTGTGAACATTTGAATGGTTTCTGACCGGTATGCGTGAGTATGTGTCGGCGCAAGGAACTGGACCAGGGGAACATGCGTTGGCAGTAGGGGCATGAGACGCGATTTGGCGCCAAACTGTATGCAGACTTTTTCTTCGGCTCGGCTGGCGCTGCAACATCTTCGGTGCCGGAGTTGTTGCTTTCGCTGGCGCTGCCAGATGCTACCAAGCCCTCTTCATCGCTTTGCTCCATGTGATTGGCCACGTCGCTGGGTCGGAAGTAGTTGTTGAAAGAAACGGCATTATTGGTAGCGTTATCGACCAGCTTGGCGACGGGCACCAAATCCTGGGATTCGTCTTTGAAGGGCGAGCTGGCTACTTCCTTCAGGAACTTTCCCACCGACTCGGCTTGTGCGATCATAGCTTTCATTTTATTGGCTGGGGTGACTGGCGCCGTAGGTGCGGCCGGAGCTGCAGGCGCCACTTGTTTAGCAGGCGCGGGCTTTACTGCAAACGCTGCATTGGGGTTTCCAGTGGCTGAATTGTGTTGTTGGCCTGTCTTAATCGCTTGCTCTAATATGGTTTCCGCGACTTTTTTGGCTGTCTCGTTAGCGCGCTCCGCATTGATGGGCTGCGAATGCTTTGCTTCCTGCACGATAGGTGGTGCTGGTGTTGGCGCCTTGTGCATATTTTCAAATTGCTCTCTTGTAATGTGCAGCTCTTCCTCCTCATCCTCGTTATCATCGATTATCTCCTCGATATCGTCTTCTTCATCTTCATCCTCATCAATAACCAATTTCGGTTCATCATCTTCAATGGAGCCGTTAATAGTTGTTGGCTGACCCAATTGGCTGAAAGCGTACTGCATCCCATTTGGTGGTGGAGCCAGCGGCCCTAGAGCGGCGCTTGCATTCAGCAGCATATGATGATTGTTTGCTATGCTGCTCGAGCCGTGTGCCAACGCTTGCTGTAGCAAGTCAGTGTCCTTGCGTGCCTTGAGCTGCTGCGCCAGTATGGCGTACTTCACCTGCTCGGAAATGGGTGAAGCGCCTAGTCCATTGCCTTGCGCCTGACTGGCTTGGTTGTGAGCTTGCGCAAAAGCGGCCTGCAAGTGACTGATGCTGTTCATCGCCGCAGCGCTGCTGCCACCTCGGCCACGCATGGGATGGTGGCCGCTGCGATGGCGTTGTGCGTAGTATTGCGGATGTTGCTGCTTGACGTGCCGCTCCATATTTGAGCGAAGCGTGAAGCGCGCGGAGCAATGTTCGCAGGCGAATGGACGCTCAGTACGGTAACGACGCTGCTTTTGCTTAGGCATAAGTACGCCGTTCTTAATGACCATTTTGACAGGCCCACCTGGCAATACCGTGGGTGGTATATGCGAGTGACGCGGCATGCTCATTGGAGAGTGGGGTGCAGGCGGTGTCATCATTGATTTGGGTAGCATTTGGTTCATTACATTCTGATCTGCTGGTGCCGTATGTGGATGCACGTTTAGCTTGTCACCCATGAGTGAGTTCAAATGCGGTAGCATGGGCGGCGTTAGATTCGGTGGAGCTGGCATGTTTGCTTTGTTCATGTCAATGCCAGGCGGCACAAATGGATTGCCAGCAGCAGCACCAGCAAACATTTGATTCATCAGCGGGCGAAAATCAGGCATGAAAGGAAACTGCGCCGACAAGCTCCACAGTTCAAGCATTTTTGGCATGTTTAGATTCTCCTTGACGTAGGAAAAGATGTCTATTTTCTTCTCAGGATCGATGCTGTTCTCGGCTGGCGTCGGTTCTGCCACAGGCGCCTCATTTTCAATTGGTTTGAGCGAGGGTTTCTTGCTTAAGTCTAGCACATCCATACTCAGATCGATTGGTGCGGTCTCCGGCTGTTGTGTGTTGGGTGGCGGAGCTGGACGCTCTTCATATGAGTCATTAAAGCTACCAATCGAGCCAGTGGACTTATCAAGCAGTTGCTCCAAACTTTTAACCTGTATCTTTAATGGCTTAGCTGTCATACTCTCGGCAGTCAGCATTTCTTTGAGGTGCGACACAGGCGTTGACCGATCTTTGGGCTGATGTTGCTGATATTGCAACTCCATGTCATCATCAAAGTCAGGTGAGGAGAATATGTGCAGCTTCTTAGCGGGATCGTCACAAGTTGAGTCTTCGGAAGGATGGTATATGATGGCGCGCTTCACCTCCTCACGTGTAGTCTTCGCATGCCGGTTGCGTAGATGACGCTCGCAGTTGGCTTTTGTGGTGAAAGCATAATTGCACTCTGCACACTCGTAGGGGCGATCGCCATTATGTGTACGCATGTGTCGCACTAGCGCCGCCTTATCGCAACTCGAATAGGGGCACATGTTACAGCGAAATGGACCAGCCGGCCCGACAGCGCCCAAGTGCACGCGATTGTGACCCTTCAGCGCGCGCAAGTTCGGAAAGACGGCGGTGCAGAGCTTGCAGGGAAACTCGCCGCGCAATTTCATCTTACGAAACTCGGATGTGAAGGCGTCTTGCGCCTCCTCTTCGTCCTTATCCAAACTATAATTGCTGGATGGTGTATTGACCGATTGTTCAAAGTTCTTAAGGAAGTTCGATGTGGACGACGATGATGTCATATTCAGTATCGATTGTATATCAGCCAAATCTTTGGAGTCGTGTGACTGTTGAGAGAGCAAGTTGCTTGTCAATTGGTCTGTGGGCTCAACGTCTGCTTCTAGCTTGATATCGGTGCTGCTTACATGCGCCGCATCCGGCTCATCGTTGGTTGAGTGCTGCGGCGACGGTAATGAGATCAAACTATGCGCGGAGAAAGGCTTCTGACTCTGCAAATAGAGCTGGCGGAAGAAGTTATTGCGCACCAGGCTCGTCTTTGCCTCTTCGGTCTCGGCTTCTAACGGTGGTGGCGCCGGGTAGCTGTCGCTCAGGCTTCGGCTGCGACGCGCATGCCTCACTACCTCCGCGGCGTAACATTCGCGCGCGTGCAGTTCTAAATCGTTGCCATTAGCAAAGCTGCGGCGACACTTCACGCACTCCACTAGCGGCATCGGGCGACTATTGAGCACCGAGCGCTGGGTGCAGGGATGCAAGCTCAGCTGGCGATGTGTGCGAAAGACTACCTCGCAGTGGCGGCACTTCGCTGGTATATCGGCATGTTCGCTATCCAGATGGTTGTCCAGCGCGCGCATATCTGCGAAGTCATCCGCATTGCAGACCGGACAAACGGGACATGAGAAGAATGAGGGCTTCTGCTCAACCTCTGCGTCATCATCCGACGCAGCTGATGCGGAAGAGGATGTGTTCGTGGGTTTTTTGACTGCATTCACTTCAACTACATCCTCGCCGCCGACTATGTTGTTGTTGTTTATAGTTGTCTTCACGCGTCGTTTCATCGCGAACAGCATTGTAATGCCATCAGCGTCTGCGCCACCATTGGCATCGGCGTCGGCGGCTAGTTCATTGCTTTTACGCTTAAAATTACCTAAACTATTACGATTCGCGCTGTTGTTGGTATTGTTATTGTTATTGTTTGTGTAATTGTTGCTGACATTATTGTTGATGTTGTCGGTGTTATTATGAGTTTTGTTGTTGTTTTGGTTACTATTATCATTATTATTATTATTATTATTTGAGCTATGGCTGATGGCACTTGATGAAGAGTCTGTTGAGCAACCACCATCACTTTCGCAACTTTCTACGCCGCTACTATTTAAGCGTTTGCCATTAACACCTGCACCACCACCACCACCACCTGTCAGGGGCGCAATCGGCGCAGTCGTATCAGCATCTGTCACCATTGCTTCCATGGCTTCGGCAGATGCTGCTTCTGCTGTTGTTGCTGATGATTTGACACCTCCACTAATCAAGCCAAGGCTTAATTGCATATAACTGGTGTTGACGGCGGTAGCGGAGGCGTTATTTACACTCGTGTTGCCAGCCACCGAATTGCTGTTGTTGTTGTGGTTGTTGTTATGACTATTGCTGGCATGCTTTGTTCCATTCGAGTTGCGGCGATGATGATGATTGTGTTGGTGCTGTTTGTGCGTGCGCATGTGCCGATGCATATTGCCGTTGGTGGTGAAGGTGAGGTGGCAGTATTTACAATTGAATGGTCGTTCACCAGTGTGCACCAGCACATGCCGATCCAGTGACGAGGCAGAGGAGAGCACCTACAAGGGCACAGAAGAAAAAAAAGAGAAAAAGAGAAATTTAAATAATTGTTACATTTTTAATGAGTTTGAAATAAAAAACGATTAAGTCACAATAATAAGGCTCGCATTATCAATGTCCCAAAAAATACTAAATATGTATTACAGATGTATGTAAATATGAAAATAACCTGGTTATTTGCAAGTTCATGTGGATGAAAGTGCTTATAAAAACTTTGGCCCATTCCCCTTAATTGTTTCAAATTTTTCTCGCAATTCTCAACCAACTTATGGAATTTTTTAAACACCAATACATGCATATAGACCATTGGAATCCCTGAGAAGCGACCCTAAGTGTTCTATAATTTCGGTTCTTAAACCTCATTTCCGTTTAAATCTGCTTTCTTTTGCAAACATCGTACCAAATATCGATGCACATACATATGTTATAAGTAAAAAAATAAAAACTTTATTAAACAATGGACTTTAGATAGTGCAGGTAAAGTCGATAGATTTTGTTTTCATATTTGCAGAACAGAGATTAATAAAAACTAAAGTTAAGATTCATTTTGGTCCTGACAATTCCACAGAATTCAAAAAGTTTCCTGAAAAATCTCGAAAATTATGGAACTTGAATTGAATCCCTAAATAATCTGGAAAAAATCCCAATACTGTCCGAATAACCTCGAAAACGAGACCGTGAAGAATATTAAATAAATCCTCCCGAAAAACTCCGGAAAAAATCGCCGTAAAATTTTGAACTTAGATTAGGGAAGGTGCATTGCCTCATAGAGACCATTAAGTTCCATAGTGCTGCCAGGTAACTGCGATCACATTAGACAGCTAATAACTGAGTCCTTCTGTTAAACTGTAACATCTTGTTGCACCCATTTGGACGGCAGCTTCAGCGGAAAACCTTCTGCCAAAAGAGTAATCCGCAGTCTGCTGGGGGAAGCACATTCGCAGACAGTGTTGGCACTAATCGATAGATTTTTTAATCAATTAGTTAACTCGATTAAATTTAATCCGATTACCGCACGTTTAATAATATAGAGATTTAACTAAAAATTCACGTTTTTGGAGATTTCATCATACAATTAATAAGGTTGATAAGGAGAATATTTATGTTCAGCCTAACAGAAAACTAAACTTCCCAAAAATGGCTAAGATATTTGTCTTTCCATCTGTCTTTTGGTATCCAAACTGTATGAATTGATCAAACTTTGATTACGTTTTTCCACAAAAATTAAATTTTGAAATAAATCTGTATATTAATTACTAAACGTATAACGGTGGCGGGAATGTAAATAGGGAAAAGACATTTTATCAAGTTTTGGCTACTTTTCTTTGTTTAAAAAATGTTTATTTTTTTATGAAAATATAATATTTTACTATCTAAAAAAAAAAACATGTACAAAATTTCAAGCTATAAAACATAAGAATTCGACGAATTTTAAAAAATGTTGATCAAAATTTAAATCAGACTCTAGAATTGTTTAAGTAGGTAGTTTTGTAGCCCTTTAAATGATGGTATGATAAAGTGCAAGTTTTAAGTAGCTTGGACTTACTGTTGATTTTCTTTATATATGCAAATGAGCAACACCTTCCACAAAAAAATTTACCGAAAAGCAACGGTATCATAATGTTTCAAAGAAATCTAATTAAAAAGCTCAAAATATTGATGAATCTTTGTCCAATTTCGCTAATTTTTGTACAAGGTTTGAAATTTTGTTTACATGGTCTTTGTTAGATAACGAGCTACACATAAAATAGTCTTATTACATTAAACGAGCAATTCTTGTATACATATGTATATGTATATCCATAGCGTTCTCGGAAACGACTCTAACGATTTTGATGAAATTTTGTACACAGATAATATTTTGGATTTTAAGGTTATCTGAATAGGCGCTATCTACGAGAAGACTTGTGTAAGGTTGCCACCTATTCGAAATTAGTTATGAATTGATTAAAACATCATAATAGGGGTATCAAATGGAAGTTATTTTAAAAATCCCTAATTCAAAAATATTTTAATAGGGTTGCCACCTATTTTGAATCGCATATTTATTTATTTTTTTTTTTTAGAAAAAAATGTGAAATATTACTCTTCATGGGTACCAAGAGAAGGTTATTAAAGAAGGCTTTCCCTATATACAAAATGTTATCCCTTAGGATATTAGTGTAAGGTTGCCACTTATTTGCGATTCTGCACAATTTATCTAAAACATCGCAATATGGGTATCAAATGAAAGGTATTGTTGAGAACTTTGGTCGGAAAATATTTGCCATCAGGGTTACCACGTTTCTATGTAATACAAATTTGTATTTTATTAATTTTAATCAGCATTTTTTTATGTATACATAGTACATATCGATGGCTGAGTGGAAGATCGACCTATCTCGGCAGCCAGTTCGAAAACGCTATATCTCAAAATTCGGTTCAAAAACGCCCTATCTCACTTCAAAACGTATTACAAATATGCTGATATAGGGCGTTTTTGAATCGGCAGCTGAGATAGGGCGTTTTTGAAACGAATTCTGAAATAGGGCGTTCTTGAAAAGTTTTTTGAGATAGAGCGTTTTCCAACTGGCTGCCGAGATAGGTCGATCTTCCACCCAGCCATCGATATACGCTCATGATATGTACCATTCATTCCAGCGTTTTTCGGAAAAGGGTTGCCGCCTAAATTTTGGAGTAAAAAATTTACTTGATAGCTAGCGAAATCCTTTTTTTTCCAAAATATTTTTTTAAAGCTATCCAAATCTTGAAATCTTTAAAAAGTATATGCACTCCGGGCAAAGCTCGGTCAACCTGGTACTAAACAATAAATAAACGAAAGTGGAATAGCCAAAGCATGCTAAAATGTTCCCTTTTTATATTTTCGCCACTGCATGTACAGCTTATATTTTGCATATCCACGATTTTTCGAGGGAATTAGTAAGTATTACTTTTTATATATTTGCACCAAATTCAAGTTAGAATCGTTTCATTAAAAACAACTTAACAAGAATAAAAGCCTGCAATATAGCGAGAGTACCAGTTTGACAGAATAAAACATAACCAAAAATCATAGAAAACGAAAGTGCTGCCACGTTTATATGAAAAATTCTTTTTGGCCCAGAGTCCAGAGAGACTCTTATTAAATTAATAAAGAAAAACACTGAAAATCGGGATTTAATCGCTACGAATATGAAAAATCGGGACACTTATACGTCCCGGCTTTTACAAGATATACAGCGGGGCAAATTTCTCAAAATCGGTACTGTCCCGCCAAAGTCGGAACGAATGGCCACCGTGTGTATATTATAATTTGGGACTTCAGCCAAAATATTTAAACAAATATTAAGATTTATGTAAGCTGTCCAATTTGAAGATACCTACAGAAGCCGTGTTTTTTTTTATGAAACTAGTTATAAAAAATATTTTTCCCAAAAAATGATCTCAGATGATAGGGGAGTTCTGCATAAAAATGTTTAAAAAATTTATCTGCGGAATTTTCAAAAAGCCACCAGAATCTCTAAAATATAATATTTTTTATAATTCCGGCGGAAAAACTGCAACTTTTATTTTGGTGGGGTATGCTAATATATACATACATATGTATGTTTATAACTTTTATTCACAGCCTTTGGTTTAAAGCAGGTCCGAAAATAACCATTATCTTGAATGTGTTCCAGTGCCAAAATATTTTTTTTTGGAAGATTTTTGTTTTTAGAACATTGTGAAATCGTTTTTCGTTGATTTTTTTTCAACAATTTTATTGAGCTTAAGGGCGTTTTTAATGAAAAACTATTGTGGAAAAACAACAATAATTTATAAAAATGGTAGAAGTGATAGCTATTTCGGAGATCAATACATCTCCTCATCGAACTTCTTCAGTGGGATTCGATCCAACGACCCCACTGCTATTCACACTTGATCATGTCTTTATTGGTTTTGTTAGTTTTTTGTTAATAATTCTGTTTTTAGAATATTTAACCTTTAGGTGTGCTCGTCCTTAAGCTATTTGTTTTTATTATTTATAGCCTTATAACAATTATTTTCATATTTATTTTATTTTTTTCAGTAAAATTTGTTCGTTATTCTGTGGTTTTTATTTTTTTTATGAAAAATAATTGTTATAATGAATCATTATTTTTTCGATAATTTTTAACCTTATAACGGAGACTGCGTTTTTTGACTGCTTTGAATCCCTTATTATTTAAAAAGAAAAAATAGAAATCCGCAACCAAACATATTTCTTAAACGAGAAAGTAAAAATCATAAAATAATGAGGTTATTCACGCTTGCCTGGTTATCAGCTTATGTGGTTATGTGGTTATATTGTTTATTCAGTTTACAACAATAAAATACAATACAATATAATAATAATTTTTAACCAGATAACCTGATAAGCAGACAAGCGTGAGCAACCTCAATAAAAATCTTACGGTTAAATTAAAATTTTTATGATTAAGCTCATAATCGTTACGTTGCCTGATTTAAAGTGTATCGTTGAACGCATAAATGCTCGAAAAATCCCGAAATGTAATAGAAAATCTAAAAAATTTAAAAATAAATCCTCACGAAAATCCCAGAAAGGTACGAGAAATACATAAAAGGGCACGAAAAATGCCGAAGAGTTCTGTAAAACTTCAAATAGTATTGAAAACAGACATATAACGTCAACGAAAATTTACGAAAAGACACGATAATCGCAAAAAAAACAAGAAGTATTTATATAATATAATCTATTGACCACTTTTCATCCGATTTTAAAAACCAAACATCCTTTGAAACGGACATTTATAGACCTTTGAAATGATGTACAACAATATATTGTTAGACTTAGCTTGTTTTGAGTTTTCACCGGGGCCTGATGAAATTAAGAAAGCTATTTCGAGATTTGTTTTGAGGTGCGTAAAAAAAGTATATCCTCCCTATTAATAAATATGTACATATATATTTTCCCCACTTAACTTACCTTTGAGCAGATGGCGCATGTGTAGTTCTCTGTGTCCCCAGAGGCGTAATTGTGGCAACGTATGTGGTTCGTGAATTCATGCCGCGTTGCCGACACCACATCGCAAATGGTACACACGAACTTCATATCCTCACGTTCTCTATCACCAATACCCGACTCAGGGCTGGATACCGATACTGAGGATGCTGCCATGCCGGTGCCGCAGCCACGCGGCGATGAAGCAGCCGAAGACGAGCAGTTCGAACCATTCGCCGAGGCCGAGGCAGAGGCAGATGCACACGCAGAAGCTGAGACGGACGCAGACATTGCATTGTGCGGTGGCGTCAAGTTAATACCACTTGTGGAAACGGCCGCTGATGAAGAAGTCACTGCCGTCGCCGCCGCCACTGCCGCCACCAATGACACTGTTGATGCATTCAGGTAATGACTACTAGAGCTGGCGTCCACAAAACCAGACTCATTATTCGTTAATTGTTCGGAGGCGGAGGTGCTGCGATTAAAACAAAATTTCTTGCGCAGTGAAGTCGGATCATCCGCATTGTATTCCAGATGCACGCTTGTCCGTTTATCCAGTCGCGTCGCTGTGCTGCGTCGCTTGTGATGACGTTGTGATCTCGAACTTTGCGCATTCTGTTTCGAGCGCTGTTCATCTGGTGACTCCTCATCATCATCATCGTAATCATTAGCCTCATCGGAGTCGTGTAAGCGTTGTTGATGTGGCAGAAATGATTTAGCATCGTCTTGTGAGGATACACCAGTTGCGCTGTTGACATCTGTTGTATTCACGTCATTGCTGTTGACTTTGTTTGTATTTTTGTTGTTGTTGTTGCTGTTGCCGCCGCTAGTGCTGCTTATGCTGTTGATGGCCGTGTGTGGATGTGGCGTGGATGTGGCCGATGAGTGTGAGCTTAGCTTCTTTGGTGTACGTCCCAAATCCAAGTGTTCCAACGATGATTCCGACGTCGATGAGTCACGTCGTTCCATCTTTGTGGCATTGGTTTGGATGGCATCCAATGTGGACTGTGTACCAGCGGCTGCTGCGGCGAGCATTTTGTTGCTTTTATTCGAATCTTTTTTCTTTGCCTTTGCTATTCACTAAGTGGGTGTGGGTGTGTGTGTGCGTGCGTGGGTGCAGGCGCAAACTGTTGATTGGCTAAACGCCACTGCAGTGGAATTTCGTCGTTTGTTCAATTATTTGATTGCGAAACTGAGATACGAGTATGTATATGAATGAATTCGGTTAAATAAAATCTGAAATGAGAGCAAAAATTAAACGGTAATGTGATTAGAATCTTCGATCTGTTGAGTTGAGATGAAAATTTGGAGACGAGTAAGGGACGACAAGGTAGTAAAAATGTACAGTGGTTATTTTAGGCTGTATGAAAGTGATTTACTTTTACAAGCTTTTGTTTATGTATTCTTGTATGTAAGTATGTATGTATGTATATTTTTTAGGGGAAAATCTTGAAATCAATTTATGACCAACTTCCCGATGATCTAGAGATTTGAAACTTGACAGTTGGTTTAGAACTCGATCACAATGCAATATGAGAGATTAGTTAATCCGATAGGTGCCGCAGGACTCAAGATATTTAAAAAATCTGTATTTATAGTCTGATTTGGTTCACTAAAGGTTTTGCCGATAGGTGGCGCATGAGCCTATATATTTGGTAAACCAGTATTTAAGGTCCGAGTTCGTTCATATTTAGAAAATATGCTTTAAAAATATTTGTTTTTACTATTAACTTATTGAATATTTTTGTTTTAAAAAAATTTGTATTATGTAAACATGTTTTCAGTACCGTCAGAACTCCAAGAAGATTTAAAAAAGTAATGGTTAATGAATTTCCGTCTCTGTTTTCAACCGTTTAATGCAGACTGCTTTTTGTGACTGTTTGAAATCAGTGGTTAAATTATGAATTTTATTATAAAGTTTATAACCATTACGGTAGATACATATTTCAAAATCGTAATTTCTTTTGATTATATCCTTTCGGTCGAATTTGGTTCGTTATTTTGTTATTTTTATTTTTTCGTTAATTTTTAATCGTTATAATGGACACCGCGTTTTTATCACCACTTTGAGGCTGCGTTTCTTCATACATTCCGGATAATCCCATTTCACAGCCAGAATAAACAGAATGCGTTTGAAATATACATACGTCAACATATCATCAGAAACGTTATAAAGAATAAATAAACAAAAAAGTTTATTCCAAACGTTCAGAATGAATAAAGAAATGCAGCCTGCATAATTTATGCTAAAAATTAAATTTGAAAATAACTATTGAAATTAAAATAATCACGATAAAAAAAGTTCTAAACGTAGTTTTGTTTTGATAAAAAAAAATTGATAACATTAAATAACTGTACACATATTTATATACACTGCACACAGCAGCGGGCAATAAAATAGTAGCGAAATTCAAAATGATAGATATTGTTGGCAACTTATGTTAATTAATTTATTTTTAATAATTTTCGTTTAAAATATGGTTTGATCCAGAAAGGAAACCACATAAACAACTGTTTTAAAGCTTGCAGAAAGTTCACAAAAATTAGTCAAACTTCAAAAAAATTTCATCAAAATTTCAAACTTTTTATTCAGAATTTTTAGAAAATTTTCGAGTTTGCAGTTTTATAGGCCATTAAATTTTATTACAATAAAGTGCACCTTTCAAGACACTTAAAGATGTCGTTCATATTTTTGTGTTTTTTTTGTTGTAAACAGTATCATTTGGAATTTTGCTAATATTTTATAGCCCGCAGCTGTATATGGGCATACTACATATGTATACATATGTGTGTATGTATGTACATATGTATATAAACGATGTAGCAACTGTATTTGTAAGACACGAATGTACAAATTATGGTATCTGCACAGGAGTACATACATATGTATGTACATATGTAAATGAATTAAGGTGCATCAATCTCCAAACAAAAAAGAGTACTGTTTTTTCATGGGAATTATAAAATTTATTCAGCCTTATCATGAGTTTAATTTTCCCCGAACTGGTTCACTTTTCACTCTTGGTTTCCATGGCTTTACTATGGGCGGATGACAAATTTTCGGGCGATTTTTTTTCAGGTGAAACTCAGGATAATGCAGATTATATTTTAAGACTTCCACCACAATATTTCAGAATAATATTACGATTTAATTGAATTTTTCTTAAATAAAGTGAGTTTTTATAAATATTTTGGCCGAAAGATCCCCTCTTAAAAGGTCTGGAAGAAATGATTAAAAATATTATCAACGGAATCAAAATAATGAGGTTTTTGGAGGTATTTCCAAATCAAAAACTCCGAAATATTTTGACGAAAGTCTTAATCTGCGTTATCCTGAGTTTCACTTAAAAAAAAATTGACAGGAAAATTTGTCATCCGCCCATAGTAAAACCATGGAAACCAAAAGTGAAAAGTGAACCGGTTCGGGGAAAATGAAATTTATGATAAGGCTGAATATGTATGTATATCATAAATTCAGTAAATGCGGCGGAAAACTGCAACTTTTTTTGTGAGACACCCTAATGCACATACATACAAATCTACGTACATACATACATATGTATGTATGTTCATAAATATGTCGCCATAAGCCCCCTAACAATCGCCATCTGCAAATAGCCGAAAATTCGATTCGTTGCGGCTGTGGGCATTGGCCATCTTAGCCTTAAGAGCGAAATACACAACACAAGCGCCTTGACAAATCAAGCGAAATATCCCTTTGCTTCAAGCCATTTATGTTGTGTTTGGTAGGGGGTGTTTGAAGGTTTCACAAGCCATTTGAGGGAAATTTGAACAAAAATCTAAATTTTTATGATTTTCTGGCCGGAAGAAAACTAAAACTCTTTGGTTCAAGGAGTCATGTTTGCATCGTTTATGGCGAAATGGGATAAGTAGGTTTGAAGCATGATAAAAACATAGCAAGGTAGAACCGTTCTCTCAATTTGTCGGCCATGATTTTTTTTTTTGAAGTTTGCCAACATTTTAAAATCATATAAAAGTGAAAAGAATTTAAAAAGTGACTCTCAGCGGTTCTACCGTACTATATTTTTATCATGGTTTGAAGTATGTTTGACAAGCCGCTTGTGTGGTGTATTTCGCTCTTTACCATAATCGGTAGTCTTCTTCGTTTTGTATTTCTACATTTGTGTGTAGTATGTATGTATATATGTGTGTATGTGTTTTTTATATCAAAATTGAAATCTACGAATGCGACCAATTCGATCAGTCCTACTACAAACACACAAACATATGTATGTACACATGTATGTATGCATATATGTACTTACTTCGTGATTTGACAATAGGAGAGAGCTATGCACATTAGGGCGGTCCAAAAATATATTTGAAAAAGTTTAGTCGAAATTTGTATAGAGCATACACCGCCTAGGATTCCTCTATACCGAAAAAATGTACCCTTATTTTTTTTATTTTGAAATCAAAAAAAGGTTTCCCTGTATTTTTTATGGTGAAAAAACATCTTTTCGTAGAAATGGTATAGAATTCTTGAGCATGGGCGTAGCCAGGTAGGGGCAGGGGGTGCTTGAGCCCCCCTAACTTTCAAATTTTCCTTATATATATATAAAATAGTACCCTGAAATACCAGCTTAATAGGCTTAATAGGCTAGGAACTGTGTTTTTCGCTTAAAAATTACTTGATGTTGTAACAATTGAGTTGTACCGAGCACTGAAAAGGCATTTATATTGCATGAAGTTTATTATGAAGTTATTGAAGAGTTGAAATAAAGTTTTTTAGTTACCTGCATGCAATATGCAGATTTTAAAATAAGACCACGTCTTTACACCAAAATCGTATTTTCATCATTATTTTTAATCGCCTTCAAAAAAGGAGGAGGTTATCTGTTCATCGGAATATTTTTTCATGTATGTTACCGCGTAACCGATTTCGATAATTCTTTATTTAAAGGAAAGGTGGTACTTGAGAGGTGGTCCCATCCTAATTTGGTTTAGATTCGGTTATTGAATCATGAACAAATTAACGGTAAAGTTTTACATGAGCATAGAAGTCGGTTTTGTTTTTTGCTAAAAAATTACTTGTTTATTTAAACAATAGTCTTCGAGGGTCTGCTGCAAACCGATAAATTGTTTTAGTGATGATTCAATTTTTGTTTTTTTTTTTTTTTACAAACCCTCTGTGAACGCTAAGCATACCTAAACCTAAATCGAAGTACAAACTAAGTAGAAAATATTATAAGATAATAATTATTCGGTTCAAGAAAATTTGGTCATATTTTATTTCGAAAACGGGGCTGACATCATCTTATAAAGTTTTTGAGAAAAAACTGTTGAAGTGTCGAAAAATGGTAAATTTACTCCGAAGAAAAAAACACGTATTAATGAAAATCCAATTCGTCTGATGGATTCAACCTTACGTCGATGGATTAAGCAGAAAGGGGTAAAAATTAAAAAAAAAAAACTTAGTAAAAAAAGAAAAACACTAGCAAAGAACCTGGCGAACGATTCCACCAGGACATAGCCACTATGGTATGATAGGAAATCGAAATATAACCACATAACCAGATAACCAGGCAAGTATGAACAACACAATTGTGAATATTAAAAAGTTATAATACCCTTGTGGACAAGTGCGCTCGGGTATAAAAAAAAAATCACTGTGTGACCGCTTATTTGAGTCACCGTACGTGGTGATCACCCTTGACACTGCCTATAAACTCACCCTTTTTGGATAACCCATGAAACTCCTTTCATTTATAACTACTCACAAAATCCTGTTTGAAAGGTTAAAGTTCAACAATGCAGAATGCAATTGAGCTTTAACTTTTTAGAAATGTATCGCACTATTAAAACGTTGCTATAGTAATTATGTCGTCAAACTTCAATACTAGTAAAGAATGTGTTAATATAAAGTTCCATTTATTTATTTGAAGACCGTTTGATTTACATACATATTCACATCACCTAATCTCGTTTGCCGACGGGAAATGTAAAGTTTTTTTTCCGGTTTGGTAACAACGCATCCATTGGTGAAACTGAAACCCTTTCTATGCAAATTAATACTTCTGGTGTTTAAATGATCAGTCACCTGTTTCTGATCGCTACTATAACCGTTCAGCTTCATCATTAGTTTATGGGAATGTAACGATTTGCAGATACATTTGTATGTAGATTCCGGGGCAAGTAACATACCATCTAAATATGTAAGTGCCAAGGGTTGTAATTTACATAGACGGTTTTGCAGTATCACCGACAAAATGCAT